GATATAAACATAATATACCTCTATAATGGGTACAGTACAGTTATCATTAGAAAAAATATCCGAGTGCATAAAAAATGATAATCGAAGAGTTCGTACACACAAATATTACCTAATAACGTTACTCGGTCATAACGTTATGTTATTATTCATACGTCTATCATTCATCGCTCGTAACTATGTTGTATACTACCTATACAGATAGGCTTCGTGTTGACACACTAAATAGCGATATTTAACTAAGAGAAAAAAAAGTGAAACTATAAATATATATCAATTACGTTTAAAACATAATATTAMCTATATTATACGTATAATATTTCATAATGTCTTGAAAATATTGCGTTGTCATTCAGAAGAAAAATACATTATTATTCTTACACTGTGGATAAAAATTGTTTAGATACATATATAGATAGATATTATATATTATGTTCARTAAAATAACATTTTATGCATGGATTAAAAGTTATTAAAATAATCAATATAGTCGAAGTAGTGGACAGAAATAAGATATGGTAGGACTTTTAAATTCTAACTCAGCAAATTCCTACATTTCGCGTTTTCATAAACTCCAGTACAGTGTAAATATCGGTATTGTTTTGTGCTCTTATCTATCTCCTTTATTAGTGATTACCTTTGCATTACTTTGGATATCCGTATTTTTTAGTTTATCTTATCGAACAAGTGGCGTTTTGATCCACTGACTTTGGGTGTCAAATTTTAAAATATTAGAGATCAACAATGTTATTTTGTTTTATAAAAAAAAGATTATTCACAGATATTTTTATAAACACAATCATAGTCAATATTGTTTGATATGACACCTTGTACACATAAGGGCTACAAATTATTAAAACATTAGTTTTTAAAAATCTTAAAAGGATGAATGGTTTTAATCGAAAAAGTGGATGTGGAGGATTATTACTAAAATAAGTGGATGGATGATATCCTGTATCATTTGGATCACTAAAAATAACTGTACAAACAAGATAAAAGCTTTAAATCAGATATAAGTCAATTTTCGAAAAACTGATGTCAGAATTTTATTAGAAATACTGAGAAAATATACATAAAATATATTATCTATATGATTATTATTTATCAATTAAGTATGCATTTATTAAAATGAGACTCTATACTTGAATTATTATTGGAATGTATAAAACAGAAATAATAATATTTTATTTTATCTTTATACCAGTAACGGCAGTAACTTTATTGTAGAGTAGTACAATGTACGGACTGAGAGAGAAAGAGATTTAAAGATTTCGGTGTTGAAGAAATTGGTTTTTCAGAATGCCTATTTGTACCTATCTGCAGTAAATTATCATTGTCACAAAATCGGATGTAATCGATAACTATAATCAATTTGTATTGTAGTATCTATACTATCTACATCAATATTAATAGACTGGTGCGTTTCTTATTATAGATTTCACTGAACCTAAATACCATTGAGCTTATAGTACAATTATTTTTTTCGTAAAAAAATTTATGATTTTCGACCAAAAAAATAAAAAGTTATATTCGTACTAATTTTCTAATCCTGCATTAAAAAAAATAATACTAAGAAGGTATATTTGATATCATAATCATAACGATATTCATTGACGACAATTAATATCAATTAAATAATAAATAAAATAATACGATGTTTATCACGCTGTGTTTACTCCAAACATTTATTTTTTAATTTTCAACACAAATATAAAGCATATTTATGTAAAAAAAAAAAAAAATCAAAAAGTAAATTAAGATCTAGCTTATCAACAAACTTCATAAAACAATACGAAATAGATAGACATTTTTTCTCGAATACATTTTCACATTTTATATAAAAATATTTTACTTCTAATTAATAATTATAGACATATATCGATAAACGATAACTTATTAGCTTGATTCATGAATATAATATCTTATATATTCAATGCAGCTTTATATTATACTATAAGTGGTAACGTAAATCAGTTAAATTAAATAAACGTAACAAAAAATGTTACGTAATAATATTTTTTTTTTATATAAATGAGTTACTAATATCAGGA